TAAAAAATAAATAAATAAAATCCGTTTTGTCCCCAGAATATATTTAATATGTTTCAAGCCCCTTTAATTTGACTATCATTTTATGACCCAGAATATTGCATATCTTAGTAAATGTTCTATGTGCAGAATATACATTCTGATGTTAGATAGACCGTTCTTTCATAAATGTCAGCTAATCAAATTAGTTGGTAGTGTTACTTAAGTCTGCTATAGAAGTTCTATCAATTCTTGAGAGCGACACATTAGAATCCCCAACTGTAATTACAGTTTTGTTAATTTCTTCTTGTAGTGAAATCAGTTTGTAACTGTGTATTTTAAAGCCCATTTTTAGGTGCATAACCATTTAGTATTGCTTTGATAAATTGATCCCTTTATCATAAGAAATGACCTTCATTATTAGCAGTAGTATGCTTTGAAATTTACTTTATCTGATATTAATTAATATCAGCTAGCCCCTTTCTTTTAGTTAGGGTTATGTCATTTACTATCCTTTAACCTTATTTGTGTCTTTATATTAGAAGTATGGATGTATATGCCTACATTTATATGTGCATATGTATTCATGTATAACAAATGGTCTGTACTTAAAAGATATATCATTTCACTATAACAACTTTGTGGTAATATATCCCCATTTCACTCCTCCAAAACTGTGTGCTGTCATTTATCTTACTTCTGCATATATTCAAAGCATCACATCATGTTGTTGTTTTTGTTTAAATGATCCATTGTATTTTAAAGAAATTTGAATAATTTAAAAACTGTAGGTATTTAGCCAAATAGTTATTGTTTTTGCTTCTTTAATATTTTTGTTTAGATTTCTATTTCTATCAAGTATAATTTTCCTTCTGTCTAAAGGAATTCTTTTATGATTTTCTGTTATGTAGATAGTGACTTCTGCTAGTGAAGTCATGGTTTAGTTCAGCTTTTGTATGTCCTAAGGTCTTTATCCAGGCTTCAGTTTTCAAAGATATTTTCATTGGGTATAGAATTCTAGTTTGATAGGGACTTGTATTATTTTTTCTCTTTCAGTACTTCAATAATGTTGTTCTATTGTCTTCTCACTTGTAATATTTATACAAAGAATCTGCTGTCATTTTATTCCAATTTTAAACAAATTATTATCAAATGGGTTGGGGTTTTTTTGTTTGTTTGTTTGTTTGTTTGTTTTTGTGGTACTGGGGATCGAACTCACGACCTCATGCTTGCCAGGCAGGTGTTTATGCCACTGAGCTAAATACCTGGTCCCAGTATAATTTTCTTACTGTTTTTCCTGTTTTAGTTTCTTAGGCTTTCATGGATCTTTAGGTTTAGAATTTTCCTAGAAGTTGAAAAGTTTTTCCACAATTATTTCTTCAAATGCTTTTTTCTATCCTAACTTCGCTTTCTTCTACTCTAATTAGACATATGTACTAGGTTTGTTGAAAATGTTCTACAGGTCACTTCTGCTTTGCTTTGTTTTTTCTTTGTTTTGTTACTCCTTTTTCTGTGTATTTTGTTTTGGATTATTTCTGTTGTTAGGTCTTGAAGTTCACTAACTTTTTACACAAAGTCTTATCTGTTATTTATCCCATGCAGTGTTTTTCAGCTCAGATACTGTATTATAGCTTTCAACTTGAAAGATTTAGTTTATGATTTATGTCTTATCTACCTATATGTTCAGTATTTCCTCTCACTTTTGAAATATATGGAATACAGACGTAGCAAATATTGTAATATCCTTGCATTTATTTCAATTCCTTTTTCCTCATTATGAGTCATATTTTTTGTGCTTCTTCAATGTCTTTTCATTGAATATTGGATATTGTGCATTTTATCTTTTTGAATGCCAGATATTTTTTATATTTCTTTAAATATGATTGAAATTTGTTCTGCGCTGTAGTTGAGTTACTTGGAAATAATTTGACCCTTTTAGGTCTTCTTTCTTAAAGTTGTTAGACATGAGAGACCAGCATTTAATCTAAGGTGAATTATTCCCTACTATTAATGCAAAGTCCTACCAAGTACTCTAAAGAATGCCTTATAAATCAGGAAGTTTCCTGTCCTATCTAATGGGAATAATTATTATTCACAGCCTCTTGTGAGCCTAGGTACTTTTTTCTCTTTCTTTGTAGATTTTGTTTTCCTGGACAAAAGTAGTTTTGCACATGTATTTACTAATCAGTACTCAGCTGAAGACTTGAAGGAAATCCTCTGCAGATACCCATATCCTCTTTCCGTGCTGCTCTTTTCTACACAAAACCATGTTCTGAGAACTCAGCCACCCCAGAGTCATTTTTGTCTCTTCAACTCAATGAATCCCCCAGGTTCTAGCAGGATTCCTCCTCAGCACCAAGACCTAGGAACTCACAAGAGATAAGGTTGGGACAGTTGGGGCTCACATTGTTTGCTTCTCTTAATGTCAGGGACCATTGTCCTTCTTTGCCTCATATTCATTATCTTGAAATACCAGCATTGATATTTTATCCAGTGTTTTAGATTCTGGTGGAAGATAATAAGTATAGTCCCTTTTACTCCATGTTGGCTAGAAGCAAAAGTCCCTTCATTATATTTTTTAAATATAATTATTATATATAGTCAGACTTATTGATTTTAGTTTATGGCTTTTGCCTCTGGTATGTTGCTTAGTAATTAAATATTCACTTGAAATTTATTCTAGAAGATTTTGCAGTCTTAAGTTAAAATATTTCTTCAAAAATCATTTTGGTCTATACTATGACACAGTAATCTGTTTTCCCCCAATTGCATATCCACAGTACTTAGCTTTTTTATCTCTCTTTTTTTTTTTTTTAGGATAGTGTTTTGTTTTGTCTTTTTTTTTTTTCCTTTTTTCTTTTTATCGGTACCGGGGATCGAACTCACGACAGCTTGCTTGCAAGGCAGGTGCTTATGCCGCTGAGCTAAATCCCCAGCCCCTACACAGTACTTAGCTTTATTCCTACTACAGCCATAACATTCAGAAGTTTACAGTGCATTTCAGTGATTGAAAATATTTTAATTCTCATAAACTTAATTCTCAGATCATTTTGTGTTTCTTAAAGGTAATCTCATAATTTGCCTTTTATGTACCACCTCCAAAAAAGATGTCTTTTATTTAATCTACTGTTTCTCTTTTCTGTTCTTAGACATAAACAGTGAAGACCACTTTTTGAGCTTTCTCTTTGTATTACCTGACTGACAAAGAGCTAGATTTAAGTTACATCCTCAATAGCACAATACTGATGTGACTTTATGTGCAATCATTTGGTGTCTATAGACTGGCAGGATGGCTGCCCAGGATGACATGTGCTGTGTTGGCAGGAGGATGCTTTTCCTACTTAAAGCTTTCAGTGGCACCCTGCTCCTCTCAGGATAAAGTCCAAATTTCTTAATATGGCTCAAAAAGCCTTTTGTGATTCCCTTTGGCTTTATACCAGCTTCATGTTTCCCCTGTCCATACTGAATGAACTATATTTATTTTCTCTAACAAGGAATGCTTTTCATTTCTAAATCAAAATTGGGCTAGGCCAGGCTGTTATATCCTTATATTAAAAAATATTTGTGTTTCTCTTATAACATCAATTAGGTATGGCTATTTTGTCCTTTGTGTCATTGTAATTTAATGCTTGTCACCTCATTAGATTCTAGGCCCTTTAGGGGTCGGAACACATCTTACTGTGTTTCTAATACCCAACCCAGCACAGAGGTAAATAGTATGCACTCAATCAGTATTTATTGAGTGAAAGAATGAATTGGGTAGGTAGATGGATGGCTAGTTTGGTGATGAGATTTGAATCACAGTACTGAGAATATTAGATTCTGACTATGGGGTAGTTGTTTCATTTTCCAAAGACTTAATTTGTTCTATAAAATTAAGATAGTCATTACATTATGAAATTGTTTGTAAGGTGTTTAGTGTTGCATAACACATAGTAATACTAATAAATACCCACTGCTATTTCACTATTAACTTTACCAAAATGCTTTTTTGTGACATTTATGAAGATATAATTTATAGGCATGCAATTAATCCATTTAAAGTGTACAACTGAATAGTGCTTAGTAGAGTCACAGAGTTATGCAGTCATTACAACAGTCAATTTTGCAACATTTTCATCCCTTTGAAAAGAAAGCCTATACCCTTCAGCTGTTAGTCCCCAAATCCCCTACCTTTAGGAAATCCCTACCTTTAGGAAATCAATTCTGTAAGTTTACCTTCTCTGGAAGTGTGTGGGGAGGTGGGTAACTGAGGAGTGAGCCCAAGAAAGGCCTCAAGCATATGAGACAAGTACTCTACTACTACAGATCTGTATCTTCAGCCCTCTATTCTAAAAATTTTTATTAAACAGAGTCAAACAATATATAGTTTCTTATGACTGGCTTCTTTCCCAGCATGTTCACAAGGTTCATTCATGATGTTGCATATGTCAGTGAATAATGTTGCATTGTATGGATATGTCACATTTATTCATTTACTGTTTAGTGAGGGTTTGGGTTGTTTTTACCTTCTGGCTATTATGAATAATGCTCCTGTTTACATTTGTGCACAAGTGTTTACATGGACACATGTTTTCATTTCTTTTGGATATATACCTGGGGGTGGAATTTCTGGGTCAAATGGTAATTGCATTTTTAAGTTATTGATGAGCTGCCAGGCTGTTTTCTAAAATGACTGTGTCATTTACCTGCCTGCCCACAGTGTTGGAGGGTCTTAATTTCTGCACATCCCACTGAACCTTAATCTTCTAATTATACCCATCTTAGTGAGCATGAAATAATATCTTTTTGTGATTTTAATTTTCATTTCTCTAATCACCAATGATGTGTTAATCCCATTTGTATTTTTTTTTTTTGCAAAAATATTTATTCACATCCTGTGTGCTCATATTTCATTGGGGCTACTCATCTTTTTAATATTAAGTTGTAAGATTGAGATGCCCTTTAGTTTCAGTTTGTATTTATATTGCCACCAAACAAGATGTATTAGAAATAATTTAATGAGAATCTTTATTTTTCTACAGGTACTGAAGATTTAACAAAAAAAAATTTTTTTCATCAATGTGAGATAGAACTGACTAGGATATCAAAAAGCAAACCACTCACAATACTGGTCATCATGCGTAAAGGAGTACCAAAGGACGCAGAATTTATTGATCTGTTCTACAAAGATGATCCTGAAGAGGTTTTTATTGATTTGCATGAAATTGGACATGGAAGTTTTGGGGCAGTTTATTTTGTAAGTAATTTTAAAAGAGTTATTTATGTAGATGAGATTAAGAAAATTTGAACTCTTACAATTCTGTACCCATAGCTCTTACTTGTAAAATTCACCTAATTTTAGTGTTTGTTCTATCAATTACATGATGTCTTCTGTAAAAGCAAATAATCACTTCTAAAGGGCCAGTTCCAGAATCTTAGGCCTTGTTCAAAGCTGTGGTATATATAAATCACAATAAATTTTTTAAGATTGAAGTTGAGTCCCATATGTCTCCTCTTTCCTCCTTATGGCCTGGATGTGCGCTAGTCCCTCTTCTGTAGAGGACTCTGCATGCTGCATCCCTAGCCCTGCCTAACCCTTCTTCATGCTATAGTTTTGATTCAGTTGTTACTTCTACAGTATTGAAATCTCTTGCTAGTAAATTGGGGCTCTTATGATCTCATACCACTTGCTTCATTTATCAGAGCTATAATTAAACAACTTGATTTTTACTCTTACTGTATGTTCCTCCTCCTAAATAACACACACCATGAGGATAGAGGTTATGTCTCTCTTGTTCATTGCTGTAGCTCCAGGATCTAATGTAATGTCTAACAATACAGGACTAGGATTTTGATAAATATTGGATGGACAGATAAGCAGATAAACCGACAGGTATTCAGAGAGATACACTAATATTTTTAGTAACATTAATGTCAAGTTATTACTTTAGGTTAAGGGGTATAAGGCTAGTCAGCTTCAATCCCAAGGATATGTGACTGTCTCCTGATGAAAAAAAGAAATAACTGAAATGTAAGCACATCTCACTTACCTGAAATTAGCTGCATAAAATATAGTTCTTTATTCTAAATGGCCTTAAAAGTTTGCTTCATCAAAGTAATAAATATTTCTTTAAGAGTAGTAGTCTTAGCCGGGTATGGTGGCTCATGCCTGTAATCCCAGCACTCGGGAGGCGGAGGCAGGAGGATCATTGCGAGTTTGAGACCAGCCTGGGCTACAAAGTGAGTTCGAGGCCAGCCTGAACTGCATAGCGAGACCCTGTCTCAGAAAAAAAAAAAAAAGAGTAGTAGTCTTGGAGGGGGAAAGGAAGGAAGGGAGAAAAGTGATAAAAATAGAAGAAAAAGATGAAAACAAAGCTTTTATAAATAAGGAGAGGAAGAAGGTTGAAGGAAAGGTAGGGAAATGGAAAGGAAAGAAAGAACCAAGTTATATCATGTATGAGTACAAATTTCCTATAAAGAATGTGATCAGTAGTTGGGCGTGGTGGCTCATGCCTGTAATCCCAGCACTCAGGAGGCTGAGGCAGGAGGATCATTGCAAGTTCGAGACCAGCCAGGGCTACAAAGTGAGCTCAAGGTCAGCCTGAACTGCATAGCGAGACCCCATCTCAAAAAAGACAAAAAAAAAAAAAGAATGTGATCATTATGTATACCTAAAATGTACCGATAAATTAATGAAGAGTAGTAGTCTATTAAATAGTAAAATACTCATAATTACCTATTTCTTCTCCAAGTCTGTTATCAAATAACTTCTTAAAGTGGGCATGGTGGCACATGCCTATTATCCCAGCATTCTGGGAGACAGAGGCAGGAGAACTGCAAGTTCAAATCCAGCCTGGGCAACTTAGCAAGACCCTGCTTCAGAGTAAGATATGGAAAGGTCTAGGGGTGTAGCTCAAGGCCGAGGCCTACATTCCACCCCAGCACTGCAAAATAAATAAAATAAAATAACCTTCATTATCAAAACATATTTGACTCTTCCTTTCAAGTGATCCTTTAAGTTCTCCCTGGGTAGGACTTGTCCCTGAGATGAAATTTTATTTCTTGCCTCTGTAGCTAGACCTTCATTCGGGATTGCCTCTGAGCGCTCTCTCTCATCCCCAGTATCTGGCTCAGCATCAGTGTTATTTCTCCTCATCCCATCTCATACTCAGCCCCTATTCAATACATTCTGTCGCTAACTGGCTTTCCAGGGCTGAAAAGGAGATAGTTTTCAATTTATCGCTCTTTTCCATGTTACTCTTTGGTCTCAAAATAACTTTGGTAGTCCAAAGTCCTGTCTTCTTCATTCAGAGATCTTTTTTTGTAGATCTTTTTTAAAAAGCATTTTTAATTATAAACATATACATAAATAAATGTGAATAATACACACATATATGTTAATATATAATTGGACTGGATTGTAGAGTTGTTTGTCTGCCATGCCCAAGGCACTGAGTTGGATCCCCAGCACTACAAAAACAAAAACAAAAAATCAAAATATACTTTAAAGAATTACTAAAAGCTAAATCCCTGTGTAAATACTACAGGTCAAGAAATCAAATACTACTGTACTCCAGAACTAGTGTTGTCCTTCTCAGCCACAAGCCTCTCTCTCCGCTGAGAAGTATCCACTATCTTGCTTTTTATGGTGACCAGGTTCTTGTTTGTGTTTGTATTTAACCCAGCTAACTTTGTACCCCTAAACAATGTAATTTGGTTTTTTCTAGTTTTGAAATTTCTTTAAAAATAATGGAAACATTTGTATGTATTCTTTTATTATCTATTTTGCTCACAGATTCATTCTTCAGTCATCTTTTCTTACTTTTCTTTTGTTACTTTATAATTAATTTATTCAAATGAGTCTTTCTTGGTGAGCAGCACAGCACCTGCCTGGAATGCCCAAGGTCATGAGTTCGATTCCCAGTACCAGTAGATAGATAGATAGATAGATAGATAGATAGATAGATAGATAGCAGCCAGACCCTTTTCAGATTTCTAATTTTTAGGAAGACAAGAAGCCAAGCATGCTTTGAAGCATATGAAGACTACCATATGTAACAAGTGCAAAATGAGATCTACCTTTCAGAAGATGTAATGATTGCACTTTGGGCTAGGTACGTCCTATCTATTTACATAAGCCTTGAGTTGCACTGTTGTGACTACCTCGACACCCAACATCCATTCAAAATGTTTACCTTTCATGATCATTTTGAATCTGTGGAAGAACCACAAGTCGCCTGATGCCAGAAGTCTATATTGCCTTCATGCAACAGTAAATAAGCCAGGCCCACATACACCCATAAGAACACACAAATTAAAAAGGGAAGTAGCTGGCACCTTAATATAAGATTTTTTAAAACTTTGACTTTTATCTGTAATGGACAGAGAGGTAATGTTCTAAAACTTGATTTTCACACTTGCCACAATGATACACTCACCTCACTCTTAGTAGATTCTTAGTAGACTCTTAGTAGAGTCTTTCTCTTGTTATTCATGCACCATGCCCTGTAGACCTTATTTTGGTGAACTTGAAAAAATATATGTAAGTCTCATCATGCTCCCATTTTTCAATAAAGCCTTTAGCCTTTTCTAAGGCTAAGACTAAAATTCTTACAATAATCAGCCTACAAGGTTCTTCACAACATGGTCCCTACATACACCTGAACACTGATTCCCTCTCTCATTGCCAAAGCTCTAGTTGCTCTCTTTTATTATCCATCATAGGCTCTTCCATAAACTACTCTCTGTGGAATGTTTCCCATCTATCTTCATCTTCTTCACTCACGTTCGTCTTACAACTGTCAGTTTACACCTTTTTCCTTCCGGAGAGGCTTTCTGGCCTCTGGGTTATAGCCTCCATTTTTGGTTCTCTTAGGACACGTACCCTACTTTGTAGCTGCAGTTTTAAATTTGTTATGATTTTATTTTTCTTACTGTCTCTCTTACTAGAGGGACAATAGGTACTAGGCTTATTTATTTACTTACAATTCTATTCCTAACACTTATTCCAATGTCTGACAATTTGTAAATGATACATATTTGTTAAGTGACTGAATTAGGGAGTCAGCAAACGGGTACTGCTCATTAGTATTTTTCATGAGTCTTAGACATGCTCACAAGCATAAAGACCAGAGTATAGCAACCAGTGTTTCTGTACCTGAATTCTACTACAATTCTGTTAGTATCTTTCTAGTTTTTATTCAAATAAGATCAGGGAGAGGGGCTTAAGTTGAATTGTAAGCATCTAGGGCTTTTATAGCATCAGTCAACTGAGAGCATATATTATATTAGAGAAAATAGAAAGCATTAACTTGAAATATCTATATGCATTTGGATTTCCATAGGTAACTCAGAAATTAGGCATTACTAAATGAGATGGTAAGAAAGTCTATATTAAAGAACAGAGAAGCCTGAGTGTGCTCATTTTTATACTCAAACACTATAAAATTTATAGGCTTCTAGTGCTCCTCTAATTAGTTTAACATATCATCCATAATCCACCTAAAGCACATACCTCGGGTCTGTTCTTCTAGGGTACTGTATTTGTCTTTTGGTTTTAGTTGAGGCGTAATAAGGCAAAACAAAAAACTTCTGTTTTATATCCCTTTATAAAGCAACAAAAGCCATAGTTGGAGAAAAATTAAGAAAATATAGTAAACAATAAGCTCTCACTAAACATTTTTTGAATCAGTGATCTTGCTAACAACGAATGAGACTGTTGAAAACACGTAGCATGAATGTATATATTAAGGATAAAACTGTACATGTTAGAGGTAGTGACAAAATACAGTACAAACCTCTGGAAAGCAGAGACCTCATTGACAGTTTCCTTTCTCTGTTCTAGAACACTGATTTTTTTTTCTTAGCTTCTGTGTAACTTGTTCTGACTCGTAACTAACATAAAACTGCATGTATAGCTTTCTATGTCTATAGAAAAATCCACATGGAAATATTTTTCAAATTGTCCTATAGCAGTAGATAGGTTGTAGAAGCAAATGGATTTGTGAAGTTCTAATTAGTGATAACTCTGAAAATGTAAGAAATATGTTTGTATATAAAGGCTACTATTTTTTCATGTTTGTAGTTCCAAATAGCATCAATTATAAATAACCTTTAAAAATAATTATATAATACTTCCTGGTTCTATTTGTTGGACTTTTAAAATTTTTATAAAGATTAAGATTTTTTTTAAGTGCTAGGGGTTTAGTGCAGTCATAATGTACATGTTTATCATGCATGAGGTTCTGGGTTCAATCCTCAGCACCAAAAACATAAATATAAATGTAAATATAAATATCCTCATCATAGGTTAAAATTCTTCATTCATTATTTTCTAGATCTTCTCCAGGCTCTTTGATGGCACAGTACATAAATGTATGCCCAAAATATCCTTTTGTCAAATATAGTCCCTTTCACCCTATTATAATGCTGAATTTACATCACCTATCCTTTGTTGCTGTCATTTAAGAACAGTCTTAGCATTAAAGTTTAAAAGCTAGAACAATGTGACAGATATTTGTTTGTTCGTTTTCTGTATTGAAAAGGCCTCCAATATGCTAATCAAGCACTCCACACCACTGAGATATATCCTTAGCCCAAGATTTCTATTTTTTAACATAAATCATTCTGTGCTTTCATAATCTGTACACAACCTTTTAAAAAATTCCTTCAAAAAAAAAGTAATAACTGTGGGAGATATAAAACCCAAAATGTGTAATTGTCATTGTACAAAAGAGAGGAATAGAAAGTGGCTCTAAAGGATATAACTGCATATATATTTAAGTGTGTAAGATAGATAACCATATTACTGAGTTTTGTTGGATCATTGAACAAAACTGTTTGCAGTCTCACTGTTTGAAAGTCCACTTTATATGCGTTAATTTTGTAACTTGAACAACTATTTCTAAGATAACAATATGTAATATATTAACTAGTGATTCCCTACTGTTTATTCTTTCTGAAATTCTGTATAACTTGTACCCTTTTTCGGTTTTTTTTTCTTTTTATCCTTAATAAAATTAAAAAATAAAATAAAAAATTCCTTCATGGAGGTTTCTTAATTTTGAAAACTACAGCAGATTTTATATATATATATATTCTTGGCATTCATTTAGAATCTGGGGTTTAAGCCAGGCATTGTGGTGCATGCCTGTAATCTCAGCACTCAGGAGGCTGAGATAGGAGGATTGCTGCAAGTTCAAGAGGCTGCAAACTGCCCCCCCCCCAAAAAAAGAATCTGAGATTAAATTGTTCTTATATCAGTAAATTATTGTTGCTTGCTTCAACTAATTTTTTTGTCATAAGAAACCTTTGTTATGTACCTAAGGAGCTTCTTTAGTTGAAACTTAGGAAAATGATCATGAGTTTTTCTCTAAAATTTTAACCTGATTTTTTTTTTTTTTTTTTTTTTTTTGAGACAGGCTCTCTCTGTGTAATGCAAGCTGGCCTTGAACTCACTTACGTGGCCTAAGCTGGCCTCAACCTCACAGCCATCTTCTTTTTTTTTTTTTTTTGTCTTTTTCGTTTTTATTGGTACCAGGTATCGAACTCACGACTGCCTGCTTGCAAGGCAGGCGCTTATGCAACCTGAGTGCTAGGATTGCAGACATGTGCCATTGACCTGATTTTATCAGCCAGTAAATGTAGTCTTTTACCTCAGAACCATTGCTACAACTTTATTGGTTGTTCCACCATAATAACAAATCATACAGTTTTATTTATGTCAAGAATGTAGCACTCAACCAGAGCCCTATTAAAAGAAAGCCAAAGCTAGATAATATTTTAATGGCTTATATTTATTTTTCTAAAATTAGTTAAGTGTCAAGTAAATGGAAAAGAAAAACTAGTATTTGCATGTGTGCTTTCAATGAACTTATATCTTGGATATGATAAAGGCAAGTAGAGACAATTATGAGACAATGCATAGATGAAAATACACACAAATAATGTACATAAATGTGTGTGTATAGATAACACATTATTATAAAGTACATTATGCTAAAAGTGAAAAAGTGAAAGGATTTTAGGATTACTCTTACCTTCTTGGCATTGTTAAATACAGTAACCATTAGGCATAAATTAAATGTAATTGAATTAAAATTTAAAATCAGTTCCTCATTCACATTAACCACATTTTATATATACCCCGACAGCATAGATAGGATCATTTCCGTCATCCCAGGAAGTTCTTTTGGAAAGCGCTGCCCTAGGCATTAGCATTGATAAGTATCTTGGTATGTGCATTCTTTTATAATTTTTTCTACACATGTGCTACTCACATTATTTTGAAAATATAGGATTATAGTATACAGCTTGTTTCTTGCTGATATTTTTATATCTTTCCATGGCAGCCTGTTACATACCAATTACCTCATTTTTAATGATTATTTCATTATGTAACCACATCCTTTTAATTGGTAGACATTTTTTATTGGTAGACATTCTATACTGTGAAGTTAGTATAGATATTTCAAAAATTGGTCTTTTGTTATTGTCATTTGGTTGCATATATTTTATAAGCCCTAATCCTTTTATTTTTTGTTACAACCTTTACAAGTATACACAGTAATGGATAAAGCAAAGCTTTTCCTTAAAAGTGAGGTGGAAATGTCTGTCCTATCAAAAGTTGGAGCATCTTTGTATGGTGATACTAAAGTATAAGAATACTATTTTAAAAGTCTCTAGTTAAACCAGGTTTGATGGCCCACACCCTGGGAGGCTGAGGCAGATTCTCAAGTATGAGCCCAGTCTGCACAATTTAATGATTTAGAAAGATCCTACCTCTAGCCGGACATGATGATGCATACCTGTAATCCTGGCACTTGGGAAGCTGAAGCAGAAGGACTGCTCTGAGTTCAAGGCCACCTGGGCTACATACTGAATTCAAAACCAGTCTGTGTAGCAAGATCCTGTCTCAAGAAAAAAGCAAAGGAAAGAAAAGGAAGACCCTATCTCAAAATAAAAACTAAAAGATCTGGGGAGGTAACGCAGTGCAAAGGCCCTGGGTTCATCCTCCAGGACCAACAGAAAAGAGTCTCTAGTGAAAGAAATTAAACTAATTGAAACATAATCAATTCTTTTTCTTTTTTTCTTCCCTTTTAACACAGGCCACAAATGCTCACACCAATGAGGTGGTGGCAGTTAAGAAAATGTCATACAGTGGGAAGCAGTCACATGAGGTAAGACAAGACAGTTGTATGCCTCAACTGACATAAGTAAGTTAATATGACAGTGTTCTCACTACAAAACGATAAATGTTTGAGATGACGGCTATGCTAACTAGCTTGTTTGAAAAATTCACCAGATATATCTGTACTGAGACATTACACTGTACCCCAAAATGCATATAGTTATTGTGTGCCAACAAAAGAAAACTTTATCGTAAAAAGACATTCATGATATTTTTAAACACTTCTTTATCACATCTCTTTTTTTCCCCTTCTTTTGGAGTATATAGTAAAAGTTGCCAGTATTTCAGCTCAGTCACCTGTTTTCCACCACAGAATGGAGACACATGTAGTGGTTTTAATATCTAGTGACAAATTTGCATTTAAATATACTCAAAACTAAAAAAACCCACAAGTTTAGATAGTTTCTTCATTGCTATGTACCTCATATCAATTTAAGAAAACAGAAAGTATATATGTACTTGATGATAAAATATTATTTTCACTTTAAATATTAAAATGTTTCTTCTCTGATGTCAATAGAAATGGCATGATATTCTTAAGGAAGTTAAATTTTTACGACAGTTGAAGCACCCTAATACCATTGAGTACAAAGGTTGTTATTTGAAGGAGCACACTGCTTGGGTAAGTCAAAGAACTTCTATTATTTTTTAGTTAAATGTTTTTATATTATTTATTTGAACTATAAAATTATCAGTCACATTTCCTATCCCATTTGACTTTTGTTATAGATATTTGAAAGTTGTTAATGCTTCAGAGCGTGTCACATGATGTACATTTGTAAAGTTAAACATGATGCTTAGCCTATTAGAAATTTAATTCTATACTCAACAAAGAATTGATAAAAACATCATCTTGTAGTGTGCCTTTTTTTTTGTACCAGAGATTGAACTCATGACCTCATGCTTGCCAGGCAAGCACTTATGCCACTGAGCTAAACCTCCGGTCCATAATGAGCTATTTTTAAGAGAAAACGGCAAGGCCTTTTATTCTCATTCTAGAATTTTTATATTTGTCATTTCTCAGGTGGCATTGAGCTGCAGCTGCATCAGTCTTGTGATCACAAGGGTAAATGTCCAATATTATACAGACTATATTAGTACCATAGTACCCATGGGGACGTGTGTTGCTAGACCCCTAGTGGATATCTGAAACAACAGTGCCAAACCCATTATGATTTTTCTCATATGTACATGATGAGGTTTAATTTTTAAAGTAGGGGCAATAAGAGATAAATAGTAATTAATAATAAAGCAATTTTAAAAATATACTTCAAGAAAATTGCCATCATCAGTACTTTTACACTTTGGGATCATTATTAAGTAATATTTGAATTACTTGAACACAAATGCCCTACCACAGTGCTATCATAGTTGACCTAATAGCCAAGACAGCTACTGAGTGAGTAATGAGTGTGTAGTATATACGGGTAGATACTCTGAACAAAGAGAACTGACAGAATAGGACAATGAGAGATTTCCTGATATACAGCATGGCACATAATTTAAAACTTGTAAATTGTTTATTTCTATAGTTCTCCATTTATTATTTTTGGACTACAGTTGACTCCAGGTAACTTAAGCAGCTGAAATGAAACTGTGGATAAAGAGAGACTACTGTTAGCTATGATGTTTAGTACATTAGGTGTATTAATGTATTATTGACAAGATATTTTCAACTCATGGTGGGTTCATCAGGCTATAACCTCAATGTAAATCAAGGAACATCATTTTTCATAATTTGTATGTTCATCTTAAGGAATATGCATATTCGGTTACTCAATTTTGAAAAACCTAGAAAAATACGTAATACAATTTAGAAATGTTTCCATCGACTTGGTTAAAGAAGCCAGGCACAGTGGCATGCTCCTGTAGTCTCTGCTACTCAGAAAACTGAGGCAACATGATCCCAAATTTGAGGCCTTAGCAAGATCCCATCATAAAAAGAAAAATGTTGTTGGTTAAAGAAAAAAGTAGGAGCTAAATATAATAAATATTTACTTATAGGGGATCTCTGTTCTCTCAGTAAGAAAAATAAATGTTTGTCAATCTGTTTTTTGGTGTGTGTCAGTCTAACAATAGTCTTTCCTTATCCACAGTTTCATTTCAGCTGCTTAAGTTATCTGCAGTCTTGTAATATTCTGAATTACTTCATTAATGAAAAGTATTTAATGTGTAAATATGTTTTCACATTAATTTTTTAAAATAAAAGAAGCCAATATGTTGATAATGGCTATATGCAGTTGATTATAGGAAATTTATTTCATAATGAGCCTGTGCTAGTTTTATCATATGTGTGTGTGTGTGTGTGTGTGTGTGTGTGTGTGTGTGTGTAGTACAGGGGTTTGAAGCCAAGACCTTCAGTCAAGGTTATATTCCCAACTCTTTGCAGTCCTTCTGCCTCAGTTTCCCCAGACTATTGAGATTACAGGTACGAGCCACCATACCTGACTCCTGATCTATTTTTTTGAGACAGGGTTTCACTAAGTTGCCCAGGCTAGGCACAAATTCGTGATCCTCCTACCTCAACTTCCCACAGTTCTGGGATTCCAGAAATGCTTCCATGTGCTGATTTTTTATAATAATAATTTGGCCCAGCATAGTGGTACACGCCTGTAATCCCAGCGTTTGGGAGGCTGAACCAGGAGGATCACCTCGAATTTGAGGCAACCTGGACAACATTATGAGTATAATTCAGGCCAGCCTGAATTACATAGCAAAGCCTTGTCTTAAAAAACAAAACACAAAAACAACAAAAATCTGTTCATATACAGTCATGTCATTTTTTGAAACATCATCAAAATTTTTCAAACCCTTAATTCTGGCCTGAATTTCTTGCAACTCCATATTCTGAAGCTCTATTGGCCCCAGTCTCTCATGTCCAGCAGTGACGCTCTCATTACATGGGCACTCTTGTCCAAGTAGCCTGTTTATTACAGCACACTATGTATCGAATTATGAAGATTCATATGAGGCACAACAGTGTCCACTCGTCAAGTGTGCACATTATTCATGTGTTGTGTCTGTACTCTGGTTGGTCATTCAGCAATAAGTCTGGAATTTATCTGTTTACATAGGTGTTCACCTCTAGTCCAGAGATGCCTGCTTAGATATTTACAAATATTTGATTATAATTTATATTATTATTTATGTATTAATGTCAATATTTATATTTACTTATATATTAATATTACCATATAATCAGAATGTCTGGCATTTGTTGCAATGGAAGTACTAAATGTGTCTGGCTGGCTGACAGTCTTAACTGAGATTTATTTGGGGGGTATGGATTATATTTAGACCACCTTGAAAAATCATGCTAAGGCTTATTTTCTGGTTAGGTCTTATTTTCAGAGAAATGCAGCATCTGGATATCCAGGGGAGTAAACTAAGTATTTGCTCATTTTTGGTTTAAGAAAGCCTTCCAAGATTGTACTGGGATTCCAGAAATATCAACAGTATAATAATACTGTACTGTATTATAGAAATGTTTTAGAGGTAAATTAAAATATCTCATGTCTCTCAGGGATTCAAAGTAATATACATAGCAGGTTACATCTTTTGCTGAGTTCCAAACAAGATATGTCCCTTATTTAGAACTTCTATGAAAATAAGGATTTACTACTTACAAGGTTATATTTGTGTTTTGTTTTTTATGGTGCTGAGGATTGAAACAGGATCTCATATGGTTTATTTTATTTAATTAGTATTTTCCGGTGCAGATTTTACTGGATCATGTTTTTTTTTAATATACTTCTAAGTTACAAAATTTAATTTATGATATAACCTAGCTATGTATAACCTAGTCATTTTTTTCTTTCTATGATATTTTATTTGTATGATATAACCTAGTCATTTTTTTCTTTCTTTTTTTTTTTTGGTGGGGGGGATCAGGGATCGAATTCACAACCTCATGCTTGCCAGGCAAGCACTTAAGGCACTGAGATAAATCCCCAGCCCCTTTAAGTCTTTTCTAAAACAAGATAGTGTGGAAAATCATAAATAAAGAACAAAAACTGAGATGTCACAAATTATGAAAATCAATTAGTGTCAGCAACCACAATAATACAAATTCAAGAGGATCAAAATATTTGTACTCTTAGCATTCTTGCTTCCTTGATAGGTTGGCTCCAGCAGCTTTTATTAATATTTATTTTTCTTTAAAAAATCTTTTACAGTTGGTGATGGAATATTGCTTAGGCTCAGCCTCTGATTTGTTAGAAGGTAAGAATGAAAGCACTCTACCCTCTCTCTGTTTTACTTTACTCAGAATGTTTGTCCCTTGCATTACAACGCAGTTTGGGCAGTCTAGTTGGGTGATAACTTGGGCTTAAGGATTGTGCAACTTACCTCTGTGAGTGTTACCAAAAGTATCTGGGAAATGGTAGCAGCTTTCCTACAGTGTAGTTCATGGTCCATCTAGGTCAGATATTGCTTAAACATTTGGCTAATGTGATGTGATATGTGTAGCCAAAAACATCAAATTCATGTGTATGGATGAAAGAGGGGTTAGTGCTATCAAATTATATTATATTCAGCCCTTTCCGATATCATGGCTAACCATGTGTCCTCTGGAAATTCTGTCACAACAGAGGCTATGTTAAAAATTTGTATTAAAGAAAGTCCAAAATCACCCTTGATCTTTGAATGGAAATTGCTTATTAGCCGTTTTTACAAATAAGAAAACCTGTAGTTAGAGAGGGTAATTATAGAGGACTTTTGGCTGAGAATTATGTGACCTAGAATATTGCAGGAATTTAAAATGTCAAAAGGGACTAATAATTTTAAGCCTGGCCAGCTGAAATCACTGTGGTAGTACTGACTTCCACTGATAATTAAAAATTCTTCACTTAGTAACTATTAGACTTATTTTGTTTTGTTTTGAAGTGTTGATTTGTTTTGTTTTTATATACTTGGTTTTCCTGTTACCTAATCATTTATTACTATTCTATAGAAAATACATATCCTATATATTTAGGTGAACATATTACCAAGTTAGCATTTGAGAAACTATAATTTAGTCTGGTATAGCTGTAAAAAATAATAAAAACAGGAATGAAACTGATCATTATTCCTGATCTTCCTCCTCCACCCCCTTCCTCAGTTCATAAGAAACCACTTCAGGAAGTAGAGATTGCTGCTATAACTCATGGTGCCTTACAAGGGCTGGCCTACCTACATTCTCATGCATTGATTCATAGGTAAGATTAGAGACCAGTTTCGTTTTCATTTCAGTTACAAGACTTTCTATTTCAGGAACCTTGGAAATTAGTTCATGCTCCAGTTTTCAGAGTGCCTAAGGATTTATGGGAAGCAAACAGATTGCTGCTGCTCCTGGATATAAAGACTAATATTACCAGAGTTAGGTTGCATCTCCCCCTGGTCTCTACCATGTATCCACAAAAGCACACATCCTCTCCTTCCATAGGTAACTAGCCTCCAGGCTAAGTGTTGCAGGGGAATTTAAAGAAGGACCTAGTGACCTTTTCATCAAGAAGAAAAGAAAATTAACTTTTGTGTATATTTATTTCATAGTTGAATTTCTTTTCCCTTTACTATTCCATGTAACAAGTTACTTCTATACAAATAGATACTGATTTCTTAATTTTCAATCCAATAATCCAGAGCTTTCTTCTACATTATATGTTCTTTTCTCTTTAGGGCTGTGGATGGAACCCAGGGCCTTATGCGTGCTAAGCATGCACTCTAATACCAACCCACATCCCCATTACCCTGTCTTGTATTTCCTGTACAATAACCCACTCTCCTGTTGCTAAATTTCAGCAACATCCAGGAGGAGCAGCAAACTGTTCACTTCTCGTAAATCATCCTTCCCAACTCCCTCAACTAACTTCTCTAAAAAAAGGTATTACCACTCTTTTTTTCTCTCAGTAAAACACTCCTAACAGTGACTTTAAAGTGTGGTGGGAGAAGTGGAATATTAGATAGATATGAAGGACATAAGATGGCTCACAAACAAAAAGAAATACTTGGCCTTTGTTAGGAAGAAGCGAAACTATTAGATCATAATTCTCTCTTTTCCTTCTTTTAATCACCAGTTACTGAGGCTACAAAAGCAGAACTTCCCTAAGACAGGCACACCAAATCCTGCCTGGAGTTCTGCATATTTATAAAGAAGATGAACAATGACAGACTGGGTGTGGGTCAGTGGTAGAGTTCTTGCCTAGCATGTGTGAGATCCAGGGTTTTATTCCTAGCACTGCAAAAAATAAAGAAAAACAAAACAAAAAATTAAAATAAAGAATGAACCCAATAATGTCTAATAAAATTTGATTAAACACATTTACATAATATCTATGGATTTGACATCTTATTTTAAAATGTGTTTCTTTGGTACCAAGATGTTATTACTGAATGCCAGCTTGCTTCTGATGGTTTGCATTTACTATAAGCCACAGTTCAGTTTTTTGTGTCTATTATGTAAATCTACACTTTGACTTACTGTTTTACTCTGCATAAGACATTATCTGCTTTAGTTATAAAATAAATTTTAAAAGTTTTTAAATGTTCTTTAAATTTAAAAATGAATACCATGTCTCAGGTTTTTATTTTGATTTATGAAGTAGTTCAGTCTTCTTATTGAAAATAGAAGAAAAAAGATATTTTCCTATTGTAAAGACAAATAATGTTTTTTTTTTTAATTCTCTCTGCCGATGCCTAATATCATCACAAGGAAGGAAACTGAATTTTCAAGGGAAGTTTTTTAAAAGTTGTTTCAGAAGCATTTGAGCCTGATTCATTTTCAACTTGACATAAGTTTTTCTCATTTTCTCCACCTTATCTTTCCACGGCCCATCAATGTATATAGTCCATGGTTCTTAGTACTCATTACATCTCATGTGCTTTTAAAAAATAATAGAGGCTATATCCACATCTTCTCATTCTAAATTATCATACTGAAGGATGAATTTTTAAAAATTGTATCTTAAGAACTTTTACTGCATAAAACATCTAATATTGTTAGTATTAACCACTTGCAATTCATTGTAGTAATACAATAAAAATGCAATTTTCTAACCCCTAATCCTTGTTTGTTTTGATCTTTCAGGGTCTTCTTTTTACTGTACAGTGTTATTTTTAAAATAACACCTTCTATATAACATGTACCCTCAAATGCCTTAGAGTTGCATTTACAATTAAAGGCAGAGAGAAAGGGTCACAGGCAAGAAAGCAAAGGTATGTGTGTAGCTGAGGATTGTTGGTTAGGTAGTCAATACAGAGCCATCACAGGTTTCTTTAGGTTCCAGAAATGTCATATTAATTTGGAAGAAAAAAAGAAAAAGGAAAAAAAATTGGAAGAGAAAATAAAAGGCAGTTGTAAATGGCACCAGTTTTCTCACCACAAAGAATATTGCTAGTGATTGGATTTAGCACTTACGAACACATTTTTTGTAAGTATAACAGCTGAAGAGGTCCCTTACCTGCCATGTTTGCCTTTTTTCCTCACTTTTTTCCCTCTCTCTGAAGAAAGCTCTACCTTTGAGTAATTAGTATGACCTACTTGTAAGTATACCCAGGAATCTGGGCCCACTTACATCATGCGGTAATTATTAAATCCCCTTCTGGCTATCTGAGCAAAGTTTTCTTTTTAAATAAACTTTTTGTATTATTAATTGCATGCTCTGACCTATTCCAAAATCAGAATTGAAAAGCAATTTTCTAACCCTCTTATTTTTTCCTATAGGGATATTAAAGCAGGAAATATTCTCCTATCTGAGCCAGGTCAGGTGAAACTCGCTGATTTTGGATCTGCCTCAATGGCTTCTCCTGCCAACTCCTTCGTGGGTACACCTTACTGGTATGTAGAATTAGAAAATAGGACACAGGTTTAAAATGTGCCTACATGAACAAGATGGCATTAGTTTCATTTTGTTTTGTTTTTTGACAATGTCTTAGCAGTGTGCCTCAAAATGAGATTTCACTTGAGAAGGTTAGAAAACTCATTAGCAAAATACAGACACTCTGACTTAGTATAAAACTTAACAGTGACTTCAAATTGTTCGATAAGGTTGATGTCACTGTGTGTAAACTGAGCAGGATTATCAACTCACTGACCAAGCTCGGGTTTTAGATTTCATTTGAGGTTTCTTTTGAACTTTTCTCTTGAGGCAAGTCTCTAAGAACAAGGGATCTTCTTTAGCCTTCTTTGGCTGGCCAACTAGCGTAAGTGTTACCTTCCATTGAAGGAAATCCAAGTTCCTGTCTTTGTTCAGTTCATTTAACTTTAAAGTTGTTCCCCGAGCCTATTCCAGAATCCTTTTTTATCTTCCCTGGATACTTTGAATTTTATTACATCTTAGAAAATGACTTACATCACTGGAAAATTACCTACCTACTAAAATAATATCACCTGCTGTTTGAATTTTACCCCCTCATCACCAGATAGATTTACCAAGCAACTGCGTACACGCAATAGTAGAATATAGTTCTGTCCACAGCACATAAACTGATAGGATTCCTGCACTGTAATGAAAATGCATTGTGGACAAACAAGTAAAGTGACATCTGTTACCATATCCTAATTTCTTTTGGTTTTTTTATTGTTGTTTAGTAAGTTATGCACGTATCTTTGAGATAGTTGAGAACTTTGCTTTATGTTGTGCTGTAAAATATTTTTCATGTTGTTTGAAATAATTTGTTTGTATTTCACATATATTAATCCTTGTTAAGTGTATATAAGGTAACCATTACAATTTTTTTGTAATAGTTACAAATAGTTACAAAATAAATTTTAAAAGTTTGACTTGAGTGTACAAATTGATATAAGAAGTATATAAGGGTTCATCAAACTCATGACCTCATGCTTGCCAGGCGAGTAAGTGCTTATGCCACTGAGCTAAATCCCCGGCCCTACAATTTTATTTTATAGATGAAGAAAAGTAATTTATGCAAGATTAAACCAATACTAAAGGGTAAAACCAGAATTTATGGAACATAATGTATCATTTCATAGTGAGTCTTCATTTCACTAAGTACTTTTACACTTTGGTGTTTTCAAAAATGACCTATGTAAGAAAATATCAGATAAACTTTTTGAATATCCTTTAAAATAGCTGTTTAATCACATCACTTTAGAAGTTTTGTTTCTAATTAACAACTTGAGTTTTGCATATTATGTTTGTTAGGATGGCTCCAGAAGTGATCTTAGCCATGGATGAAGGACAATATGATGGGAAAGTTGATATTTGGTCACTTGGGATCACCTGTATTGAAATGGGTGAGTAAAGAGTTATTTTAATTATATTTTTGAGAATCACTCCATATAACCATCAATTAACTCATCTAGCTATTATTTAATGAATGACTGCTATATGTGTATCAGAGAATATGAATTTATAGATCTTTTATGTGTTCTTGTATAACACAGATTACTTTCTCCCTGTTTTGTTTTCATGCTATTAACTTAATTGAAGGAATTTGAGAAGATATAGCAGTTATCAAACATGAAATATAATAAGTATATGCTAATATTTGAAAAATAATTCTTTATACTGTGAGTGGTAATATATATCCTATCTTCATAGTTGTATACATTACCTTAACTTATCCATCAACTCTTGTTAGTTAGTAACAAGAGTAGTAAAACAGTACTAAAAGGCTTATCAAACGTCTAACTCTAAAACTTTATTTGAGGGAGCTGGAGATTTAGCTCAGTGGTGTAAATGCGTTCCTGGCAGGCACAAGATCTTGAGTTCAATTCCCGATACAAAAAAAAATATTTGACCCACAAAGAGTACAGCCTCAGACAATTTCATATGAGAAGATAAATCTATCTTAAAGTTGTTCTCAAAACTTTGTTATCTAAAACTGTCTAAAATGCCACAAAATCTCTTCTCTGATTCAATATATTTTGAACTTTAATATACATTAAAATTGTCAGGGATTTACCTCAGCAGCATAAGCCCCTGCCTGGCAAGCACAACGTCATGAATGTGAGCCCCAGTACCAAATAAATAAATAAATTACACACACACATATCCTCTATCCAGTGGCATATTAGTAAATTTAGCAAACATAGGTCTTGATGGTGGGATTGACCCCTGATTTGCAGCATTTTCAATTTTCAAGGTTTAAATACTTCCTCTGTAACTAATTTCAAACTACCAGTTTGACTTCCTAGTCATGGACTTGAGAGAAGATGTGCATGATTGGCCTTTGAGATCCAGGATGAGCTGGCTCATAACACTGCCATTGTTTACATATTTTGTAAATTTTAAATTAAAAGCATTCAACTTTTAAAAATCATGTTTTAAAATTAGTTTATCTAATTTTTGTTAGTTGCTTTGGTTTGCTTATTGAGACAAAGTCTTATCGTGCAGTTCAGGCTGGCCTTGAACGCACTGTGTAGCCTAGGTTGGCCTCAAACTTACAGTGATTCCCCTGCCTCAGCCTCCCAAGTGCTAGGGTTACAGACATGTACCACCACAGCAACTGATGATCTGGTTTGTAAACTTTAGGTTTAAGTGTTGTTTAATTTATTCTTTTCTGGTTCCAAACTGATCCTGTAAGAATTTCTTAGTTCCAGTTTGATTCTCAAATTATAATTTTCTCTTTATCAAAACATCTGGCCTACAAAGAGAATTGGAATACTTTCTGTTATATTTCCAGTTAATCATTGACCCTTTCCAACAAAGAAAAATATGATAAAGACACATAATTTGTTTGAATATCTTTTTTCCATAAAAAGGTATTAGGGGAAAAAAACAATTGAAGGGAGAAAAATTGAATATTTATTTAATTTCTCTGAATTAGGTAACAGACTCACGTGGGTTGGAATTCAAAAAAAGGCCAAGCACAGTGATGCAGGACTGGAAAGGCTGAGGTGGAAGGATTGTGGCTTCCAAGAGTTCAAGTTCAGCCTAGCAATATGGCCAGACACTCTTATTTTTTTTAAATAAAGAGTGACCTTCCACCATTGGCCCTGTCCACTCAGTTCCTATTCAACCCCATGGACACACACAGAGAACCACTGTTGTTAATGTCTCATGTGCCCTCCCAAAATTTCTTTTTGCATATACAAATATGAATATGTACTTTTTTCTTTTTTGGTACTTCATATTGAACCCAGACCTTACGTATTTTCTGCCTGTATACCAGCCTCATATACTTCTTATATTAATTTGCACACTCAAGTCAGCATATACTTGAAGTTCCATACTTCAGAGGGTCACAAGTCCAAGGGTAGCCCACCCAATTCAGTGAGACTCTGTTTCAAAATAAAAGATGGAAAGGACTGAGGGTGTGGTTCAATAGTAGATCACTTGCCTAGCACACATGAGGCTCCAGGTGCAGTCGCCAACACTAGAAGACAAACCCATAATGACAAATATGATCACTTTTACTATGTAAATTATAAAGTTATATAAAGCATTAAAATTGAAAGACAAACCATAAACTGAGAAAAGATAGTTGCAGGATATCTACCCAACAGTCTCTCAGCATTTATAAAGAAGTCTTAAAATTTTTGTATCAGAAAGAAAAAGCCAAAACAGCCAACAGAAAAGTAGAAAAAGAATATGATACATTTGGTGAACAGGAGACCTAAATAAACAATGAACATCACGAGCTACTCAGCCTTAGTAATTTGAGAAATGCAATTTAAAATTATTTTATATGTTTTATATTGACAAAAGTTTTTAAGTCTAAGGATAGTAAACTTGGAGCAGCAGCTAAGGAAATAATTCATCTTCCATTTATAGGGACATAAACTGATAAAGCCAATCTGAAGTGGAAAGTGGCCACAAGTCGTAAAGCTAGTGAGGAGAAATCCCCATGACCCCCCGTTTCACTTCTAGTAGACCTCAGGGAAATGTTTTTGCATGTACACTGGGAAAAGTGTACAGTATGCAGCCATGTATGTAGTAGTCAGAAGACAACCTAGATTCTTATCCAGAGGAGAGCATGCAAATAAATTGCGGCATATCACGTGGTGTCTTTAGAAGATATGATCTAGAGGGCTGGGGATTTAGCTCAGCAGCATAAGCGCCTGCCTTGTAAAGCAGACAGTCGTGAGTTCGATCCCCAGTACTGATAAAAAGGAAAAAGACAAAAAGAAAAAAAAGAAGATATGATCTAAAATACAGTGAATTCTGCTACTGAGTGCCATCAAACAGCAAGGCAGGCTGGTAAAAACATTATGCTGTGTCCTCATTCACAAGATCTGGCACCATGTGACTTCTGGCTCCTCTCCAAAGTCAAATTGCCCATGAAAAATAAAGCTTTTAATCAATTCAGGACACCAAGGCAGTCACAACAGCACAGTTAATGACACTCACAAAAGAGGACTTCCAGAACTGCTTCAGAAAGTGACAAGAATGAGGGAATAAGTAGTTTTAAACAAAGAATATTTTGAGGGACATTAATGTCTATGTATCTTTTACTGAGATAAACATTTTTAAAATTTAAACATTCACCATATTTTTTGGTTGCAGTTTATCACAGTTTAGAATAAAAATGATCCCCATGTTTCATCATGGATAAATATCAAAATCATAGTGTAAGAGTACTCAATGAACAAACAGATTTGAAAATTACTGTACCTTACCATACAGTATGATGCCAATTGTGAAAGTTTTATAAACACTTTTATGTATTGTTAAGAGTACACAACTGTGTACAAACATACCAAGGAAATAAAAGATATGATTCTAGAGTAGTACACTCTCTAGATAAAGGAAGAGGAATAAATTCATATCTATGTTCTTATTTTTGAGAAGAAAAAAGGGACTGAAACAAATACGGCAAAATAATATAAGTGATAGGTGTCTGTTATAATATTCCTGAGAATTTTAAATTAATCACTGCATGCTTCTTAAAAATAAATGTGCATTTTTTGCATGGGGGAACTGCTCTGAATGTTAGTTAGCAGGATAGAGTCAGTTTTAGAATTAGACACTGTGGATTTGAATGTTGGCTTCACCAACAAGAAGCTGGTAAGATCACCATGTATGGCTTCAACATCATGCCAGCAGACATTCAAGTAATTTTGGATGGAAATAATACCTCTGGGAGCTGTGTGACATGGTAATTCTGGCTCTGTGATCTTGGATCTCTTTTTTTTTTTTTTTTTTTTTGACCATTTTTTTTACTTCTCTAACCCTGAATTTTCTCACTTACTAACTGAAAATAAAAATGCATGGATCATAAGTATTTTCAGGCTTCAATAAGATAATATAGGTAAAGATTTAACATATTTCTTGGCACAGAACATATACTTAATAATAGCTGCTTGTACTCATACATCAAATTACTTGGTTTTTGCAATTTATACCTTAGCAAGTAAAAATGAATGAAAACTTTTTTATGCTGAGACCATCCATACCAGCACCTCCTCAGTTTTGTCTTTTTAAGAGGACATACCAGCTGAGTTGAACCTTACAACTAATTAGTGCCCAGCTTATGCAGTGTAACAAGGATTATACCCTTTCCAACCTTCTTAATGAGACCCAAAAAACCCAGGATGCTTCCTTTTATGATGACTCAAGATCATCATCAAATTAGTTTTTATACCATACTGATGTCATGGTGACTAAAGTTTTACACAACAGTTAAGATGCCAGGAGATATCTTATTACTTCCACTTTTGAGATAGTTCCTGGTATGCACTCATTTCCTAATTTTATCTTCTCATAAAAGTGAAGTGAAGCTGGGCATGGTTGCTCATCCCTATAATCTCAGTGATTTGGGAGGCTGAGGAAGAAGAATTGAGAAAGTTTGAGGTCAGCCTGAGCTACATAGCAAGAGCTGAGATGGAGGGGCATATGTATGTATGTAATAACATTCTGTCTCTCTCAGTATAATTTTGATTGTCTTGTATGAAATTATTTTCTAAATTAAAAGAAAGGTAGCCTTCTACTCCCAGCTATAATTAGTTAAAACTTCAAATTGAAAGGCCATAGATTCAAATCATGATGAAGAGCAGACTCTGAGTCAAACTCGGGTTCTAATTCTAGTTCTGACATTTCTTATTTATATAATTTTGGTCAAGTTTTTTGAAATTTGCATAAGACTGTCTACCTTCTGGAAATTGTACAGATTAAATGAAAGTATGGATTTAAGGTACTTATTGCTGTGTATGGTACACAATGTTTACTCGATACGTATTTGTCTTATCAGCACAATTTTAGGATATATGATTGTATTGATAAACTTTCCAACACTATGACCAAATATCTAACATACATAAGACAAAGGAGGAAAGGCTTTTTTTTAAGGCAG